ACAAAAAGAAATTCATATCATCTCTGGATTACATGAGTGAAACTAACACATGGTGTCTGGAACGAAGCACAGTCTTCGGCCTCTGCTGTCTCTAACTATCAGCTTCATCAGTAAAATAAAGGATGAGCAAATCCTTCCAAGTATTTTATTTCAACTTGCATCGTAAATGAATCTTAGCTTCAGATGAAAGTCAGCATCAGCCTTTCTCTCCTTTTGGCAAATGAACTCAAAGAAATAAAACAGCATGCAGAAAGGTAGTACTATAATTTGCTAAATTCCAAATTTCTCTCGAGGTACACATCCATTCTTAACCAATGGAGGGGAGAAAAAAAAAAAAAAAAAAAAAAAAGGCACTTTTAAGAGCTATCTGCTTTTTAAAATCGTTCACTGCTTCCAGTTTCTCTCTCAGACGTTATGGAGAAGAAATGTATAACATTAAGAATGTCCAGGTGGCTCTGGCAGACAGAAGGCCAGGCAGGAGTCAGCACTGCATGCTGGCAGCACAGAGGCAAGCAGCATCAATGCAGATGAGATCAACTTGACTAGTTCTCTTTGCTTAACACTTCCTAGATCACACCCAAACATTAAGTTTTGAGTCCCTTGCTACAAACTGGACCAAGCACAATGGATGGCCACAAAGATGGCTGGAGCACTTCCCATGAGAGGCTCAGGAAGTTTGTTAAACTTGGAAAAAAGATAGCTTTGGGGGACAAGCAGCATCCTCCAGCTTACCATGGGAATGGTCCAGCAGTGCACAAGAATGCCCAAGTAGGTTATGCACTCTCCATCCCTGGCAGTTTCCCAGATGTAATGAGAAAAAACCTTGAATGGCCAAGTCTAAATTCAGGACAGATGCTGTTTTCTGCAGGTTAGACTCACTGACCTCCCAAGGTCCCTTCCACCCTAAGTGAATCGTACTTTTATATGTTGTTACTGTTGCCATGATGCCCCTGATATGCAGTATCAGCTGCCACTTTGCAGGTATGTGTTATGCTCCTTCTGCTGAGCTCTGCTACCTCTTCTACTCTCAGCAGTCTCTGCACTCACAAATGAAAGTAATTCTATTTATATTCATCTCATAAAGTGTTTAAAACATCAGAAAAAAAAAATGCTTACAATTTGAAACACAGATCTGAGGTGTAAAGAGAATACCAACATTGCTGTTTTTTTCCTGAGATAAGGCATTGTTTTTCAGAGCAGCGGGTGGGAACAAGACTTATTTCCATTAAGATGTTAAAGCCATAATCTTGAATATGATTTTTATCAGTTTGGTAGCTATTTTTATGAAGTTATGTACAGACAGAAGCAGGACTCAGATTTTGTTTTTGAGGGAAGAGATAAAAAATGAAGAAAAATTGTGGAAGAAAAAAAAAATAGAGGAAAAAAAAAAGCTTGTGTAGTCTAGTTTTAAATAATGTGTTTGGTAAATTTCTTTAATAGAGTCTTCAAACTATTTTATTCCAGATTTTGAGTGGAAGGATGGGGAGGGGAGAAAAAAAACCACACTTCCCCTATCAGTGAGAAATTAACAAAATTTGCAATGGAAAGTAACTATGAGGCTTCATACAATGGTATACACAGATACCCCTTCTCTATCATGAAGCTTCACCATATATTCTCTTTTCATCCCCACATCAGGATGCAAATTCTGTTCAATTCTTGACAAAAATTTCAGAAATCAGCTTTTGCCCAGCAAGCAACTGCAAAAGAAAATGACTGTGTGGGTGGAAAAGCTTCAATTAATAAGTATATCCTATGGATTTCTATAGTGATGTAGACAGGCACTTTGGAAATAACTTTGAAACCTAAAGCAATCTAAGTGCAGATGTAACTTGAAATTAAAAATAAAAAAATAAAAAAGAAGAAAAGAAAACAGAAAATTTGAAGCCAGCACTGCTTCTTATGGTCATGGCATACCAAAACACTGGCGTGAAACATTAATGGTAGCCATCTATTTCAGAAAAATGGCACGATTGAATGTTGACCCTAAAAAGATGAGCAGGGAAAAGGCAAGAGGCCGATGTTTGTGGTAACACGACACCTAGCGATCACATTGAGGATGTTTCTGTATTGGCGGGAGCAAAATCAAATTAAAAAATAAATTAGCCAGGCCTTGCTTTAAAATAAAAATAAAAAATAAAGAGTAAATATTATCATCTCTATCCAAGCACCTAAATTACATAGACATAATGTGGGGGGGAAAAAAAAAAAAAAAAAAAAAAAAAAAAAAAAAAAAAAAAGAGGAAAAAAAGAGGAAAAAAAAGGAAGAAAGGAACAGAAGATCCACATATGCATTTTGTCCCTTACAGAGATCAGAGTTGGAATAACTCCAGAGCAGAACAACATCCAATGTTGTATAGTTTCCCAATACTTCTTTCATTTGGGTCTTTGCTGAATAAAGAAATCTATTGATAACTTCCATACAGAGTAAGAAAAAAGCTTTACAAAACTTGGTGTGGTAGTTGATGGCATGCAGTATAAATAATGGCATTTTAGCAGAATAGTCTCTGTCCTGAGAAACCACTGACAGGGTACTCATACATAACAATGAGATATATGCCTTTATTTCTTCATTTTAGAAGCTTGTCAGGCTATCACTGCCTTTCACACTTCCAGCAAGACAAAGAAAACCACAGAATCCAACTCATATTGCATCGATGTAAGATTCAGGGAAAACTGTGGCACAGTGGGTAACTATCCCCAAGGGGTTGGACCTCTTCAGAATTTCTGAGGGGCAAAAAGGGGAAGAGCTATGCAAGAAAACTAAGAAGCTCACTACAGATAAAGGAAACACACTCCTTTCTGAAATCAGCTCAATATGAACATGTCTGATCCAGAGGGAGGCAAGTAGCACAAATTACACTGATTGGCAAAACATTAGAGACAATGTCTGACTGAAGCTTCACTTGTGTAGAACAGAATACAAACAATAAACTTTAAGGAGCTTATGCAAGAAACAGACTTAAAAGAGCTTGTTAGTGTTAAAAATATAAGTATACAAAATATTATAGTACTGTGTTTCAAATCTAGCATGCTATCTTGTATTTAAAAGTGAGCTGAGCTACTTTCCAAGGACTAGTACTTCTCTGCCTTCCTTCTGAAAAGTAAAAAAAAAAAATTAGAACAGGTACCTTTAAGAACTATGTCTGCCTAATTACCATAACCCCAGACAACAAAATGGGCTCAGCATGCAGTAGTTACATCATAACTAGCATAGTTCTATCTTATTTCTGAGAAAAATTCGCAAGACATAGGCAATACACAGATATAAAAATAGTAAGGGAAAAGAATTTGGATACCAGTAGCGTTAAAATAATGAAACAAATACTCATCACACCGTTAATCATAAAAGCAAGGTCTTGTTTTTAAGATGCTGAGAATGGCTCGTGCTATTCCCTGCACAAGTACATGGCATCTCTGGGAAGCTATGCAGTTACAAACTCAGGGTATAAATACCTGTCATAAAATGCCACTGTGGAATCTGAAGTCTACATGATCGCATTTAAAATACTCTGGAAAGTGAGGTTAAGCTGTTCTGTGTTCATTGGAAAGAAGCAGCTTGCAGAGCTTTTGATTTATGTTCCTGCTTCTGATGTAGGGTTCAGATAAGCTGTACGGCCACGAATCTCTGGTTCCCACCACACCTGTCCCTTCCTTCAAAGCCCAGTGCTGCTTCAGGCAATACCGCAGGTGGAAGTCCCACAAATATCAGCAGGAACAGCATGTCCCAGTGGCCTTAAACATACACATTTAACAGAACTACAAGAACACCAGTCATAAATTTCACCCAATGATAGTGATTATGCCTCACTTTTAGTGCTGAAACATTCTGAACTCCCATACAACCCTTCCAGCTGTTAACATTTTAAGTAATTGCTGCACAGATTATTTTTACAGCTCAGGAGCAGGTCTTACAAATTAAGAGCTGTGAAGCACTTTAAAACACAGACAATTGTACAGCAGGTTTAATTCAATTCTTTTCTTTTTAATTACAGAAATTCCAAAAGCCAAGAGGTGAATGAATGTGTTGCAAGAGAGACAAACAAGTCAGATGAGTGACACAAATACACAGCCCAAAGTAGCTTGGACAGGACAACAGTTAGTTGCCACAGATTTGTGGCATCTGTTGCACTTGCTTGTGGTTCCAGGTGTCATTTAATTTCCTTTCCTTCCACACTTGTTCTTCCAAACATCTACTCTCTGATTATGGAGGCTTAAAGAGGTAATGAAATTGCTGTGAAAAGGAAAGCATCTTTAAGCTATACAGCATGGAGCAACAAGCAGGTGGCTTCTGAATGATGCTCAGGGTAAAATATGACGAAGGTGACACAGTTCTTTAAAACCACACAGTTGTAATCACTGAGACAGCTTGAAGGACAGGACAAAGAGTGAATGGGCTGTTTATTTCAGCACCGGTAAACTATTTTATAATAAATGAAACTTTCCAGACAGTGGCTGAAAAATGCTGCAGTTACACTTTCACAGAATAACTGCATGCCAAGAGGAGCGTTACACTAAATCATCAAGTCCACCATTACTTTAAAAGGTACAGAGGACGTACCAGATGACGCTAATTTAATAAATCAAGGACGCTTGAGAACCACCATCAGAGGGCATCATTTATAAATGATGTGCCAAATGCGCTGCCACGAAGTAGCGAGTCTCTCCCAACTCCCCGCTTCCCTCGCCAGCGCGATGCCGCACAAGTCGAGACGCAACGAGCCCCCTCCCTGCTTCCTCCCCCGGACCCCGAAACTTTCCCGGGGCTGAGAGAGATGGCACCCCCGCGTTGAGAGGGGACGCCGGCCGGGCCGGGGCCCGGGGCTGCCTTTCGTCGGCCGGCAGCGTTCCTCCCGCTGAGGGAGGCTGAGGCGGTGCCCCGCTGCTCGCTCCCCTCCCGCAGGCGCCACCCTCCCTCCCTCTGCGCCGGTGGGAGATGCCCGACCCGAGCGGCTGCGGGAGTCGGTGCCGGGACGGGCGTGGGGATAGCGAGTACTTGCCCAGGTGGGGACGAGGAGGCTGCCGGGGCGCTCAAGCGGTGCGGGAGGCGGCTGCTTCCCCGCCACGCTCATCTCCTCCCATGCAGCTGGCTGGGTCCTTCTATCAGACGGGCGGCTCAGCGGGACGCGGCGCCTCAGGCATGGAATCCCGGGAGCGAGCGGCTTCGCGGCTCCGCGGGGCGTGCGGTGCCGGGGGGTCGCACCGTACTGCGCTGCGCTCTGCCCCGCCGCCCGGGAGGGGCGGCAGCACGGGCACGGCGGGCGGGAAGGAGAGGTCTCGCCGTAGGCTGGGAGCCAAGAGGGGAGAGGACCGCGGCGGAGGCGCGCTGCCTATTTAACTTCGCTCTTCTCCGGGGGGAAGGCGCCGCCGCTTTCGCTCCCCTCCCCTCTGCGGCCACATCTCCACAGCCGGGCTCTGGGTGCAGCCACTAGCGCTGCTGCGCTCCTCCCCGGCACCGCACCGCGCAGCCCCCCCCCGCGAGCCTCGTCCCGAGCGCGGTGGCGGCGATTTTGGGTTGCTCCCGTCCCGCCCCCGCCGAGCAGCCCAGGACGGGAACGGGGGCGGCGGAACGGCAGAGGGGGGCGTGCTGCGGGCCCACGCGATGTTCCCCTCGGTGTCGGGGTCACTCAGTGATATGTAGGTCTCCCGCAGGTATGCGCCCCTCTGTCATAATCTCCAGACCAACATCACCAGGCTTTGTTCTTTCGTTGGTATTTGGCCTTCATCCCAGTGTTTGAGTTCATCACCTGGATAGCCTGGCAAATCAGCTTTGGGGAACTTTATGTGGATCTGTGGTGCAACACCTCGCGAGGCTGATAGGAGGGAGATGAGGCGGCGCACAGGACCATGTGAATTGAAAGGGACCCTTAGAGGCCATCCAGTCCAACCCCCTGCAATGGACAAGGACACCTACATCTAGAGCAAGTTGCTCACAGCCCTGCCCAGCCTGACCTTGGGTGTCTGCAGGGATGGGGCGTCCAACACCTCTCTGGGCAACCTGTACCAGTGCCCACCACTCTTACCATAAAAACCTCTTTTCTCATATCCATTCTAAATCTTTTATTTTGAAACCATTTCCCTTTTCCTATCACAGCAGACCCAGCTAAAGAGTCTGTCCCTAAAGGCATTGCTCTAAGGGCTCACTTGCCCTGATTAGCCCATCCTGAGGATTAAAAAAAAAAAAAAAAAAAAAACACCTTTTATAGTGCTACATGTCTGAAAAAGAAAAAGGTGTTGTTGGCAGTGTGAAATGCTTGAGAACCTGGGCCACAACCTCATGCAACCACATAAACCCATGTACATGCACAGCGTGCTGACACTGTGAGAGATGGAAGGAAAAAGAACAAACACACAAATGAGCTGCAGCCTGTCAGAGATGGATTGCCCCAGGCTGCCGGGGCTGGGAGTGAGAGGAAGCAGCAAATAACATTGGATGTTCTATAGCTCTGGAAACATCACACCTTCAAGCTTGTATTTTGTAGAAGTTGCAGGCAATGCCCATGCACCAAACGTGTTTTGTTGGAATGTACAAACCTCAGCTGAAAAAAATAATTTATGAGTAGAGTACTGTTTATTAACGTAAATGTGCTGAGACAATTTTGGAAGGTTGGAAATGTGAGACAGATATTTGCTAGTATGGATAACAGTTTTGCTACAGTTACCAACTTGTTATTGCATACAGCTTTTCCTTTCGTGTTTCTTCTTCATTCTCTTCTTCCATAAATACAGGATATAAGCAAGGATTAGAAAACAGAGGTGCAAGTCAGTGTAAATAAAAACCATGTGGCATAGTACTATTATGATGTACAGGGAATATGTATGGGAAATAACTTACAGAGATAAGTCCCTACTTTTCAAAATGTTTCTATTTATCTATAAGCTGTACTTTTCTAAAATTTAAAATTCTTTTCCAATTGGGCACCATCAGTCTTGCACACAATGTATAACTTCTTGAGAAGCTTATCTGAAAACTGACAATTGCATAAATGATTTATGTAATGCACTGAAAATTGGGTAACGTCAGACAGCTGAGGAACTGTTAATATTTTGTACTTTGGGGATTTAATGAACACATTTCACAAAATTATACTCTCCTATAGTACTGCTGTACTGAAAGCAAGTAGGTATATGTGATTTGGGGGAAGATTAATAAAAGATAAAGTTATTTAGTATGTTATTTGAGCTAAGCCAATTTGTGATAGCCTGCAAAATTAATTAATTTCAACTAATAAATTTCTTTATTTTTAAGAGACAGTATGATTTCATAGCTTAAGAAACATATGAAATTTTTAGGAGTTGTTAATGTGCTCAGTTTGTTACTAATGAAAAGCTTATATGTGGTTTTCCCTTTCCTCTGTCAGTAATTTTTCGCTGCATCCCTGATTGTGCAAAGCCTTTGCCTTTGCCATTCCTGAAATACAGTTAATGAATGCTAGCTGTCAAGCAGCTTTTTAATGATGAAAGACTTGAGTTTTTTTCCAGATTATACTATATCCTATAATTTGGGATAGGGCAATTATTTATAAATTTCTAGCCCTTGAGATTTCATTAAAATACTAGAAAATAACCATAAAGTGATCATACAAAAAGAGAGTAAATTCAGAGGATGCAAAACATGTTTTTTGATTAAAAAAAAAACAAACAAACATGATTTTCAGTTAAATTCATGATATGAAGTAGTACCCAAAAAGTTTTATTAAAATTAGACTTATCAGACAGCAAAAAAATTTCAAATCATGTGTAAAGTTTGAATGGAAAGAAAGTTCATGAAAACAGATGCGAACTGCTGAATTCAGAAGCTGTCACATAACAGATCTGTCTGTTTCCTTCTGTTTTCATACATGTTCTTGCATTCTTACATACAAATACACACACAGATGGCTGAAAGTGTGTAATTATATTTTCCAGGAAATGTTACTCTGTCTTGAAAGTATAATTATAATTATTTATGTGTTTACATACAATCACACGGCTACTCAAATCAGGTTGCTATCTTACTACAAAACTCAACATTTGCAGATATTCCACTTCTCATTTTTAGCCATTATATTCAGAAAAATACAAGAATCATAACATTATTGGTTCTATTTTAGGTCTTTCTGTAAAGCTTAGCTGCTTTATGAACTTTATTATGCTGAATATTTTACTAGCAAAATAAATGCTCCTTCATTTCATTTTGTGGAAAGGCATCTAAGATAAGAGGAAGTAGAATCACAGAATTATAGAGTTTGGAAGAGACAGAATCACAGAATGGCCTATGTTGGAAGGGACTTCAAGGACCATGAATCTCCAACCCTCCCACCACATCCAACCCATCTGCTGAAGCAGGTTCCCTACAACAGTTTGCACAGGGAAGTGTCTAGGTGGGTTTTGAATCTCTCCAGAGAAGGAGACTCTGTAGATCATACTTTTCTAAGGATGTCAGTTTGAAATTTTTAATGTAAAAACTGCATGTAAGGCAAGATAGAAACACTACATGTCCCAAGGAAACTGCAGCCTGTATTGATGAGGAAGCTGCCATTCAACCACCGGTATCCCTCATTTTATTCAGGTGCTCCACCACGGCGCCCTGCTGCCAAAGTCAAAGGCTGACTGGGGCAAACTGGTATGATTTTGTCTGTCATGCTGAAGGAATGAATATTCCTTCAGCATCGGTCAGGAGTATCAGTATCAGGCTGTTTAGGAGAGTAATTCATCAGCGTACTATGAAAGACAAAAATGGGTGTCTGAGCAACTGGATATCTGAATGAGGTATTCCCAACATGTGTTTATAGAGGGATATTAGAGTGATCAATATATATTCTTACCTCAGAATCAGATGATTTTGGTAACACTGTCAACATCTATGTGTACGCTTCATAACCAGCTGCAGTAAAGCAGCAAAGAGTAAGTAGCAGGCAGGTGGCTAAATGGCAAGTGTTTTGAGTACTACAGAACCAAGTGGGATTTTGATACCCTTTCCTGAAGTTGTTCTTAAGTGCTTGCCTGTCCTTGAAATCTACCAAATGGAGGAGCTGATGTTCTGCAAACTAGTATTTTATGTGTACTCATTCTCTGCAGATAGCAGCATGTCAAGATGTTAAAGCTGTGCCAGTGTGCAAAAAGGACTACGATATTACTATGTGGCCAAAGAAAGCACAAGGTTGTGAGAGGGAGAAGAACAGAGTTCTGGAAACCTGTTGTAATTACTCATATTTACCCAGTTTTTTATCCAGTGATTACTTGGCTCCAAAATAATTGCCAGTTCAGAGAAAAGGCACAAGGATATAGAAATCTCTGCTTTTTGGAAACTGCCTGCATCCCTGGAGTAGTATGTGACTCTCCTTCCATCTTTTGCTTTTGCTCTGATTTCTGCTTGTAACATTTGGAGCCAGTGTATAACCATAATTGTGAGCTACTTCTCATATGACAAATATATTCATTATTTATATTTCATCAGTATTTGACCAGTGACTCATAAGAGCGTAAGCATTAAATTTAGAAAGAAGATGTGATTCACAAAGGCAATCTGGTTGTACATAGAAGCACAGGTAAGTTATAACTGATGAGCAGAGGCAGCATTTTGTGGTTTGAGTAACCAATAAATAAATCTGATAGAAACTTCTCAGTATGTAATTCATGGCCCACTTCTGCCAGAAACCCCTTTGCCTTGTACACTGAATAATTTTGGGTGTGGTAGACATGATTTTTATAGATTTGTTGACTCATTTGTGGACAACAGAATTAAGAATGCAGTACATTTCTTGAATTGTTCATGTAGCTGCATTACTATACTATATCACTGTGAATCAATTGGCAGCTTATTTTCAAAAAGATGTAGTGCAGCTTTATTTGAGACAGACATGCTTTGTTTAAAAAAAAAAAAAAAAAAAAAAGTGTAAGTGGACAATTAGAAAGAATTTTACTGCTGTTTTTATTGCCTGAAAAATGCCATGAGAGTCTACATTTAATAGTTCCCATGCAGAATAGAAAAGGAAATAAAATGTTCATTACACTGATAATATCACAGAATCGTAGAATGGCCTGGGTTGAAAAGAACGACAATGATCATCTAGTTTCAACCGCCTGCTAT